GCTCGCATTAAATGAGCAAGGAAATATGGCAAATGCCACAAAACAAACTATTTTGATTATATTTTCGTTTGATTCTTTTAACATCACAGACGCGATTACGCAAAACTCGTAACGATTTCAGGTCCCTAGCTCTCCCTATATTCCACATTCGCTGAACCCCTCCCTCTCAGAATTTCCGAGACCGGCCTTGCGTTTCAGCATGAATAAATCATTGTCTACCTGTGGAAATTCTAAAGGTCGAGTATTTATAATGTCCTCCACATCGTTCATCTCCGGTCCCACCAGGGCAGAGGCCGAGCCAGTTTGTTTTGGGATGCGATTGTATCTAGCATACGTCATGCCACAGTTACAGTAATCGTAACCAATGATATGTACTGATAGACGGGTCCTGCACGAAGTGCAGAATTTCCACACCACTCGTATGGAGGTTTGTCTATCACAGACATTTTTAGGGAATTCTTCGCCCTTTTCGTAGCAGCTCAAATACTTGATGCTCGACGAATTAGATGCTGAAATAATGGCAGGAATAGTCTAAATGGCTTTAACAAAGAATTCTCTAACTCAGAATTCTCACTCAGCATTCCTAAACTTTTTTGAGATCATTCCCATTTCTCCTTCGTCCGTCCGTCCGTTCGTCTCGTCACTCTTTTCATCCATTCATCCTTCCATCCATCCATTCATCCGTTTATCCATCCATCCATCCATCTATCCATCCATATCCTATCCTATCCATCCACATCCATCCATCCATCATCCATCCATCCATCTTCATCTATCCATCCATCACCATCATCCATCCATCCATCCATCCATCCTCCATCCATCCATCCATCCATCCATCCATCATCCATCCATTCATCGTTCATCCTCCATCCATCCATCCATCCATCCATCCATCCATCCATCCATCATCCTCATCCATTTTCAAGAGAGTAACGTACGTTGTTAAGTGCAAGCAGAATGAGCTCACATTGACGAATCGGGGGAGGCCCCTCACGCGCACACCACCGTCGCGTTCGATCGTGTCACCGGCCGTTAGGACGCTCTCACGGATATGAGTCGCGTCGACTGCAAAAGAAGACTTACGTTTGTACCCATTCATTGCGGAGTTATGATTCCGTGCCCTTGAGTGCCCTTAGCATGCCGGTTCACCGACATCTCCTATCGCAAAAATTGTGGAAACTAAAGCCGGGAATAAACGCTAACGCCCAATTAACGCTGACCAAATCGACAGATTAACGGTTCGGATTGCAGTAGACGTTTCCAGTTTACTGTCAACTATAGAGTAAGAACGGCAGAACTTCGTCGTAACGTTTTGGCGTGAGGCTAGAGAGACGCGAAGAGAGAGATACTCGCAACAAGCGCATACACCGAAAGCTCTTGGAATAAATTACACTGCACTATTCTCAATTGAAAAAGTGGAGTGGCTTAGCCGTGATTTAAACGAATTGTACATTTTTATGATCAATTAAATTTGAGCAATAACCTGTGGCTTGTTTTATCGTGGAAAGGCATGCATCGTTAATGAAAATTCCTATTGCTCGGCTCTTTTGGCATTTTAGAAATTCAAGCGCCGTTACTGCAGCATGTACGACTGTCTCAAGACTGCTCGCATTAAATGAGCAAGGAAATATGGCAAATGCCACAAAACAAATTATTTTGATTATATTTTCGTTTGATTCTTTTAACATCACAGACGCGATCACGCAAAACTCGTTACGATTTCAGGTCCCTCTCCCTATATTCCACATTCGCTGAACCCCTCCCTCTCAGAATTTCCGAGACCGGCCTTGCGTTTCAGCATGAATAAATCATTGTCTACCTGTGGAAATTCTAAAGGTCGAGTATTTATAATGTCCTCCACATCGTTCATCTCCGGTCCCACCAGGGCAGAGGCCGAGGCAGTTTGTTTCGGGATGCCGATTGTATCTAGCATACGTCATGCCACAGTTACAGTAATCGGTAACCAATGATATGTACTGATAGACGGGTCCTGCACGAAGTGCAGAATTTTCCACACCACTCGTATGGAGGTTTGTCTATCACGGACATTTTTAGGGAATTCTTCGCCCTTTTCGTAGCAGCTCAAATACTTGATGCTTGACGAATTAGATGCTGAAAATAATGGCAGGAATTAGTCTAAATGGCTTTAACAAAGGATTCTCTAACTCAGAATTCTCACTCAGCATTCTCAAACTTCTTTGAGATCATTCCCATTTCTCCTTCCGTCCGTCCGTCCGTTCGTTCGTCCGTCCTTTCATTCATTCATCCTTCCATCCATCCATTCATCCGTTTATCCATCCATCCATCCATCCATCCATCCATCCATCCATCCATCCATCCATCCATCCATTCATTTCCCATCCATCCATGCCATCCTGCGTGTGAGACCCACGAGGCGGAATGATAAACGGCAGAGACTTGGCCATAGGAAGCCTTAGACGCTGGAGGTGCGCAGCGAGTTAGACCCCAGCCAATCCATACCATCGCATCCATCCCATCCATGCCATCGCTCATTCCATCCAGTACCATGCATCCATCCATCCTCATCCTCCAGCCATCATCCATCCAATCCACTCCATCTCATGTCCTCATCCATCGCATCCATCCTCCATGCCACCATCCATAGCCATCCATGCATCATCCATCATTCATCCGGTTCAATCATCCATCCATCCTTCATCCATCTATCCATCATTCTTTCATCCATTCATCCCCCCGCCCCCCTAAGATCTCCCCCTGTAGATCAGAGGCACCTAAAAGCACTGGAAAAAAATACATTCAAAGATGCTTAAGAAAGATTCCTCCAAATCCGCTGGAAGACTCAGGCGAACTAAACGTTAGTATCTTCACTTACAAGCCAAGACAACAGCCATGCGAAGCACAGTTAATACTCACCGGTTTGGGGCTGGCCATGTTTTACCCGAATGCGCTAGCAACAGACTCTAACAAAGTCCTATATTCCCCGTTTGCGGACAAGGCGAACGCAACAAGAGGAGGACAAAGAAGGCGAAAGGCTGTACTTCAAAGCTAACCTAAAAAAAAGTGTAACATCGAACCCTTAGCACTGGTAAACTGTTGCGCCTTCGATCGTCACATCATTGAGAAAAACTATATGGAAGGCTCTCAATACTTCTTGAATGCCCCAAAGAGGCAGCAATGAAATGGACAGAATCACGAACGCAGAAAGCTACGTGCTGCAGACAGAACTGAATCACCGCTGATCCATTCATAATCTCAACCACTACAAGACATGTGGATCCAGGATTGGCTCCGTCAGTCATCGGATGATCTGAGGACCGTCACAAGACATCCTATATATAGCTTCCATGGAAGACAAATCATCCTCGAACTCGAAGGGATTGCGAGATGATTGACTAACACTGAGATCCGGTGGCGTGGGCTTGATGCTCACAGGGTCGAAGATTACCTGTGCCAGAAAATCGCGACCTCTGGCTCTCGTTATAATATAGATATCTATTATTATATCATTATATATAATTTCATCATGCAATTATCAATTATCCTTATCATATATCATTATATCATCTAATATATAAATCATTCGTAATGGCGACCATCACTCGCAGCGGTCGATGCGGGAGCGAACTAGTTTCTGCATTAGTTAGTGCTGAAAGCACAGTTGGTATAGCAGACTGTGACAACAACAGTGGATGTGTACTTCCAGGGTAGTAATTGTGAATGTTGGGTTCAAATATATTTTCAGTGTCTTACTGACTCTGTCCCGAGGTGCTGTGACTGGCTGATTGATTATTAATTGTATACATGAGTAATCATTGTTACCCGTGTGTTCATGACAGGATGCTTACCACGACACCCTACGTAGTTGCAGTCGAATAAGATGTGTCGCGTAGATAATATATATGAAATAAATATATATATATATATAGATCGAACATATTTCTTGTGTGACCGAATTTTAATACAATTCGCTAATCATGATATCATTATGCTCTAATCACACATACTGCTATACTTCAGTTTTAGTAGAATTGATCAGACGAGATCCATAGCAAGCAACAAGACAGCCTTGCTTGTGTTTACGGCCTGGAAAAGAAGAGTGAGTAATGAATGGACAATGAATCATGGATGTGTCCAACATCACGTAATAGAGACAAAATCTGCTGATCATAAGTTGTCCGATCAGCAAAGGGTGTTTTTTCCCTAAGAGCGTAAGAGAACGAATCCTACTGATCATGAGGTTGGCTCATTGAAAGAAAACGAGCCTTACACGAAGACGAGATCCTCCGCTGCGACGTGGTCCTAGTTAACAAGCGCGAATGAACTGTTCGCGGCGCACTGCGTGCGTGCGTGCGTGCGCTGTGCGTGCTGGTGCTGTAGTGCGCTGGTGCGCAGCGTGTATGTGTGCGCTGCGTGCACGTGTGCTTGCGTGCGATCGTGCATCGCGTGCCGTGTGCTTGTGTGCTGTGCGTGCGTCGCGTGATGTGTGCGTGCGTGCGCGCGTGTATGTGTGCGTGCGTGCATGTGTGCGTGCGTGCGTGCGTGCTTGCGTGCGTGCGCGTGTGCATGCAGGAAGCGAAATGCGTAATTCTGCTCTTTCCCGATAAGATACGCCTGCGGATACTTTTAGGTTATTAGTAGCGCTGGCACATTGATATTGTGTTGTTAGGATACCACACATTATTGTATTTTTTACATTTTCCCATATGCAGCGCATTTTATCTAGGGCATAGGAAAAAAAACATATATAATTCTCCTTTCCAGCACAATATTATTCTCAGCCAGCGAGATATGATGAATATATTTATTATTCATCAAATTGTCAACAGCTCAACAGGAGTGACGAAAAATATGTTATGACATCTATATCATGCCAGAATGTGGGATGAATGATTTATCAACATGAACTTGCAAACTGACCGTCGAAAAATCTTATCTGTCGCCCTATTCTAGATTATATACCATATATTCTAGATCTTACCAAGCGGCGGCGCCACCTCTGAGTCATCATGGCAGCCCCCTTTAAAATTATGATGTGATTTTGTTGGCATTCGTTTGTGAATTGTGGCATTTTCTGTTATTGTCTTTCCGTTGGCTGTGCTCATGTTCTATGCAGTATCAGTTGCCAGTGCCACTTATTAAGTATGTAGTGCGTTATATATTGAAATTAATTTCACTGATTTTATATTTTCAGCAGTGCAGCACTGCAGTGCAGCACATGTTCGCGATGTTCAATCTCAATCTCTGGCTCAGTGAGAGAAATTTTGCAAACTAAAGCACTAACTTGATAATGTAATAAAATGTATTTTGTGCGTGTGCGTGCGTGCGTGCGTGCGTTCGTTACGAGATCCCAGACGATCTCGTAACTAAGATTAGGCAGTGGCTCCTGCTCCGGTAACCGGACCGGATTTCAAGTCATACCGGATTTCATGCTTTTTCAAATCATAATTCAAATTTGATTTCCCTGTCCCCTAACCCTAACGCTATATATAACCCTAACCATAGGGGGGTAGTTGTCCGGGTGGCAGTTGTCCTGGTGGGAGTTGTCCTAGGGGGTAATTGTCTGGGTGGTAGTTATCCAGGGGGGTAGCGCCAAGAAACGGTATTGCTAGGGTTAGAATACTGTGTATATTGACGTTAGTCACACAGCCTGGTCGGGTTATCCAGGGGGGTAGTCATCTGTATATGAGCTGCGATCTGTTTCTATCAACACTACTATTCTCGTAATATTAACATTAGGCCAAAACAAAATATAGGTGTGGTTACGGTTTCCCGACCGACCCTATTTATTCCCACCGACCCTAAACATTTTATTGCCAATTTTCTTTAAGGCAGTGGCTACGGGTACGGTAGCCGTATCTTAATGTCTCGAGGCTACGGGTACGGGAGTCCATTCGCTTTCATACTTAACGAGACAAAGATGGCGGCGGTGGCGCTATTTTTCGAAATAACGCCTTGGGAAATAAATTCACGATTTAAGAGTTTAGATGAGCTAGAACCCTAACCCTAACCCTAAACCTAACCATGACCCTAAACCTAACCCTAACCCTAACCCTAATCCTAACCCTAACCCTAACCCTAACGCAAAAAAGTGGCTTGAACGAGCGACGGCTACCGTACCTCCAGCCACTGCGTTTCTTTAAAGTCAAAAATTTAAAAAAAAATTTTAAAAATGAATTGGGCAGTTCTTGCTTCAAAAGGCACAACGCACATTTTTCGGACATGGTTCGTAAATAAAATATTTCAAGAAAATAAAATGTTTTCTCTACCTACCTACCCTATTTTTTTCCGGCATGTAATGGTAACCACACATATATTTTGTTTTGGCCTTAGTTGTAAGTGCTATCTGAGCATTAACTTTACGATGTTTCTGACAATGGCCCACAGGTTTGTTGGTGTGAGGAATGAGCAGACGAAAAGTAGGAGATGATTGGGGGAGCCATGGCAGTGGAGGAATACAGGCTTTCGAGGATGAGCTGGATTCTATGGTCTTGGATGTCAAACCTAGAGTTAAAAAAGCGTATGGACACACAAACACATATATATATATATATAGAAACACACATCAAATTGTTTTATTGTTAAAAATTTGTTAAAAATTGTTTAAAAAAATCTGATGACCAATGGCAATGCATTACTTTGTAAACTGAGGTTGTTAAAAGGTGTAATTAAATTTGTGTGTGTGTGTGTGTCATGTTTATGCATACGTGTACATTGTTTAGTACGTTGCTTAGTAGCATGGCAAAATCATAGAGTCTCGTATTCATTTTATTTTGTTACCTACCACTCTCTCATTTTCCAATAGTTGATGAGCTGATTTGTATTACTGTATTATTATTTTGTCGATTAAAGCAACAAGCCACCCACTGTTAATAACAGTCGCCAAGGCTGCAACTCTAGAGGTGGCTCTAACAGAGGTGGTGGGCAAAAGAGGCCACCAAGTGGACAGCAAAGGAGTGTAGCAAGTGGGAGGCAAGGCTTTCGCAATGAGGAAAGGTTTGACAATAGTGCAATTGAATTCCTTCGTCGACCAGAATCGCCTAGAAAGTAAGTTGATGTTATCGGTTTTCTTTCCTTATATTGACATTATGACATTAGTCATTAAAGGTTAACAGAAGTGAGGATTATATAGGGAACTTCTATGTAGTATTTTGGTAATTTGATCATTGATATATTGTGGTTTATCGATATGCCAATTTTTCGCATTTCGTGTGCACCATTTCCAACTTTATACACTTGCATTTGTGTTATCGCTGTTAATTTATAGTTGGTCATAAGACTATGAACCAGGTGTTATAAACTATAAAGTGTCATAGCAGTGTTACGTACCATGTGTTGTAGCAGTGTGATCGTGGCTGTTGCTAAGGCAAAGCTTGCTTTGCATCTATCTGAGAATGGTGGACCAGAGATCGTTAATATCACCAGCTATATGTTTCTCTCATTTTGTTGCTTAGTGCTGCGTCAGAAGGAGTAGGGCGACGGAGACTAGGTCACAAGGTCATGCTGCAGACGCTGAATATGACTGAAGACAACCAGGAGATGGTTCTTAATACTCTAAAGCACGTACAGGATGAAGATTTTTCGTTGCCAGAGTATGTGCGAGAGCAATCTTTTTAACCTAAATATGTTCACTATTTATATATTAATGCCTGCTGTTGGGGGCACTATGCTCTCATAGTGTTGCTGAGGGAAGGAATAGTGCCCGAGCGGTAGCGAGGGCACTATTCCTTCCCAAAGCAACACTATGAGAGCATAGTGCCCCCAACAACAGGCATTAATATATAATTAGTGCATCACATGACTATGCAATCTACTTTTCATGCTTATATATACCTTCTTTATACTCCCTAATTTGCCGGTGCATTCGATGTAACAAAACGTTCGACACAAACACAACCGCCGTTCGAAACTCGTGCGTGGCGCAACTTCAATATGTTCACTATCTTTGTTTAGCTGGTAAACGTGTGTGGTGACACCAATTTATGTCTCTGGTAATATGGGTTTTCATGTTATATTAGTGATTTCCTCATATTCATATTGATAGAAGTGCATATATAATTGTATGCTATATTCTTTTGTAGAGAAAACGAATATAGTAATGTCAATCTTCAAACAGAGAGGCGATTTTGGCTCCGTGATGCAACACTAAAGGAAAGTATAAATAAACATATATTTATCTACACAACTTAGAATCTAGTAAGATTATTTTAATTAATCATGCTGTGAATGTCACTCTGTGGAATCACACAGGGTGACATAGCACCTGTGTTTGTTTGATTATGTTATAATTTTTAGCTCATCTGACGTTGGTAGATGCAGCTTGTAGAATCGCATGATTGTCCGTCCGTCCGACCGTGCGTCAACAGTTGGGCACAAATCTTAACCGCTCGACGTACGGTCACGATATTTGGCACGTCGGGGGGGATCGTGAAAAGGACTCGGGATGATAAATTTAGGGGTCAAGGGTCAAAGGTCAAGATGTGTAAACGGAGGGGGAATATTTCCCCCTTAACTTAAGATATAGGAGGAAATACGGAATTGCGGCACAAATCTTAACGGCTCAACCTATGCTCTTAATATTTGGTGTATGGTGTGATGGGCAGAAAACCCATCACCAGTGCGAAATTGGAGGTCACAGGTCAAAGGGCAGTGGGGGAAAGGTCAGATATCAGACATTTTCTGAGGACATAGCCTAATGGACAGAGTGAAAAACTTTTTTGTTTCAGCGCTGACCTACCATTTTTATCACTTTATTAGAAGGACCATGAAATGTGCTTTCCACTGGCGTGCGAAGAGTAAGAGTCTGATAACCTTTTGACCCTTAAGAGGAGGGTTAAACATGGAACAAATAATTTTTTACAACAATTCCAAATTTTTATTTTTTTAATAGGGTTAGGGTTAGGGTCACAATGCACCATAAAACAGGAGTTTCAGGCACGCGATTTGTATCAACCAATGGGATTTGGGATGTATGCAGAATGCACAAGGTTGCTGAAATGATGTGTACGCAACTGCGTATCTGCATATCAGCGCCTAACAAAGGTGTCACTACGCACGACTTAAATGTTACGTTTGTAACCGTAGCAACAGACCTCAGATGAGGCCAGACGCTCTGTGGCTCTTGTTTATAACATGTAAAGAAGCTAATAAAATAAAATGAACATTCTTAAGTATGGCACTCCTTGATGACTGGTGAAGCAAAAGGTGCTTTACATTGAGAAAATATGTCAAACAATTCTCGTATTCAATGACGCACTACAGTTATATATACTAGCAATTTGTTCAATCTCATAGCTAGTTGTACCATATTATACTTGTAGGTTGTGGAGCAAAGTCACAGTGAAAACGACAAGCTATCCCCCTCGAATATGTACAGCAACTTTGCACTTAACAAGCTACTCAGGTTTGCTGTAATATTAAATAATTACATGTGACTAAATTTTAAATTATATAGGAATGGATGCATGATAAAATCTCAGTTAGCATGTTAAAATTCTAGCATTGTGCATAACGTATGAAATGTGAAAGTGATTGCAACAGTTTTAGTTAAGATGCAATGTTAATTATGTCATTTGTATTAAATATATTGGTGTAGATATGGCTTCCATAAGGACCGATGCAAGTCGGCATTAGAGCAAAACGAAGGCGATGTCGGAAGAAGTCTAGAACAGTTGTGGTGTAGCTGTTTTAATGTCACGTTTGAGCGTGACGATTCGTTCTCCGAAGGTACTGCCATTACACTGCTATATTAAAATGAGACATTTCAGAATGTAATTTTTAAGCACGTACGTAAACGAGCACAGCATGTTCGCAGTGGATCGATACATGGGACAGCTCACAGCTGTCGCGAAAAAGTTGTGCATGCCCGTTAATTTCTTGTTGAACGTGTAGTTTCAGCATCGGCGAGTAGTTCCCGATGTAAGTGGCGCGACCGGCATCTTCGTTTTGCAGACGACATCCTCGAACGACGAAGTGAGGAGGTGCTAGCTCTGAGCTCCATCTATGGAGATGCTTTCGTGGAACGTATACCGAATCGGGTGTGGGTCGTCTGCCTGGATCTCCCCGTGCTCGAGACGCTCATCAACAAGAAGCCGGCCGCCGACCATCGGAAGAAGCCGGCCGCCGACCATCAGAAGAAGACGGCCGACAGTCGACTGGCGTGCCGGCTCTATAAGAAAGGCACGTGTCGTTTCGAGCACAAGTGCCGATACAGGCACGAGGCGGCCGCGAAGCACGTCTACGCCGCGCTGGCGCTCGAGAATCCTGATCCGGACGGCGCGGCGTCGAAGTACGAGCTCGAGATCCGGTTTCCGGACGAGTGCAGCTACCCGTTCGAGCCGCCGCTGGTCGCGTTCTCGACGACGCACGACTACTTCCCCAAGTCGAAGTGCCTGAACGTGACCTCGCGGTTGTACGAGGAAGCACGGGGCGTCGCCGCCGACCACCTGCCCGCCGTCTTCTCCCTCATGGGAATACTCATGGAGGATGAGGACGCGCTGAAACGCGCGATCGAGTCGCCGTCCCTGCCGCACTATTTCTCCGCCGGCGACTGGCCGACGGACGCGGCGCCGCGCCACGACAACGCGCCGACGCTGGTCGCTCGCGACGGCAGGACGTCGGTGAATCACAGCGAGTCGGCGGAGATCCCGCCGGCGCCCTCTGGTTCGAGATCGAAGGTCGGCGATCGCGCAGCGGGGAGAATCTCTTGGCCGGGTGTGCAGCGAGAGAACAGGAAGCTGCGGGAAGAGTTTGCGAGGAAGCGGCAGACGAAGGGCTACCAGCAGATGCTGGCTGACAGGCAGAAACTTCCAGCGTGGTCTCACCAGAAGCGAATCCTGGCAGCACTAGAAGAAAACCAGGTTGTTGTCGTTAGTGGAATGCCTGGGTAAGTGATGCTGCGCGGAGACTGTCGCGACTAATCGCAATCGATCGACGAGTTGTTATGACGTTCTTAAATTACTCGCCCTAGAAAACACTGAATCTTCTAATGAGTCCAGATTCTTGATATCACATGTGTATATCTAATAATTGTGATTTTAATCCAATTTTTTCCTGATCTCAGGCAGATAGTGATTATTACTGATCTAACATGGTAGTAAAATCTACTGAAGCAAGTGTCTACTAAACCTACGATATTAGTAATGTACACATCAAAGCAGGCATATCTCGTAGTTATTTTCCCCCGTGTCTTCCTGTGTTTCTTATCTCCACGTTTTGATATCTTATCAGCATGTCGCTTGTCACCTCCAGTTTTTCCGTACTATTTTTATTATCTCTATGTCTTCCATTGTCGTTATATTCTCCATGTCTTTCGTTTTCTATCTTATCTCCATGTCTTCTATCGTCTTACTCATCTCAATTTCTTTTGGTGTCTTATCTCCGTGTCTTCCATCTTTGTGTTCTCATCTCTACGTCTTTCGTCATCCTTCTCATCTTCGCGTCTTCCGTCCCATCCGGCACCTCCGTGCTTTTCATCTGCCGGGGAATTCCAGCTGCGGCAAGACGACGCAGGTGCCTCAGTTTGTGCTCGACGAGCACCTGGCGGCCGGGCGACACTGCAGCATCGTCTGCACGCAGCCGCGCCGCATCTCGGCGATCGCCGTCGCCGAGCGCGTCGCGAGCGAGCGATGCGAGAGGCCGGGCAGGGCTGCCGTCGGCTACCACATCCGCATGGAGAGCGTTCAGGTGCGTGCGTGCGAGCAACCTCGGGTTTATTGTCGGAAACCTCGGGTGGTTTCGTCGGAAACCTCGGGTTTATCGTCGGAAACCTCGCGTGGTTTCGTCGGAAACCTCGGGTTTATCGTCGGAAACCTCGGGTTTATCGTCGGAAACCTCGCGTGGTTTCGTCGGAAACCTCGGTTTTTTTGTCGGAAACCTCGGGTTTTTCGTCGGAAACCTCGGGTTTTTCGTCGGAAACCTCGGGTTTTTTGTCGGAAACCTCGGGTTTATCGTCGGAAACCTCGGATTTATTGTCGGAAACCTCGCGTGGTTTATCGTTGAGGGCGGTTTCGATTCTCTAGTGCGCGGCGCGAGCATTGCCGCATTGTGTTCAGTCGGAAACTTTTGGTGGGAAAGGTAGAAACCAGGGCGTGTCGGAGGGAGCGCGATTTATCGATCGACTTGATTGTCTCATGAGGAGAAGCATAAGTTCGGGGGATGCGTAAAGCCTGGGGGGTGATGGGTGAATAATGACGGATTATTGTCCGTACATCTGTCATTGTTCACCCCCCGGTTACTGGCCAGTGTCTGTGGTAACTATCGCTGTGTCATGTAGTCTGCGTCGACGCGTCTGCTGTTCTGCACGACGGGAGTTCTGCTGCGGCGGCTGGAGCATTCGTCCGGCATCGAAGCTGTGACGCACATCTTCGTTGACGAAGTCCACGAACGCAGCGAGGAAAGGTGAGCCGGCAACATAAAACAATGTGCAGGCTCACGTCGTGCTCGAGGCCTCGTAAACCGCGTTGCTCTGCTTTTCCTAACAGGATTTATCACACGTATATATTTATTTCTTTTTTGCAAAAAAAATATGAATATTCGTTACGACTCACCAGAATGCAGCATGTGTGCAGGGAACATCGCATTTAGTGCTTTCTTTAGCACGTGAAGCGAAATAGCTAGAAATGGAAATATTATTAACATCGGTGTCGATCTGAGAGATTTTTTTCACCGACGTGCAAATCGTTGATTGGCAAGTGATAACTGAGATGAGAGATAACTGAGAGAGATTAGCGACGATCGAGGGGTTGATTAACGGATGCGATTATTCTCTCTCCCTCCGTGTGAATTACTGTAGCGATTTCCTGCTGATGGTGCTGCACAACCTGCTGCAGGAGCGGACGGACCTCCGCGTACTGCTGATGAGCGCCACGCTCAACGCAGACCTCTTCTCGCAATACTTTGGCGGCTGCCCGCTCGTTCACATCCCTGGGAGAACATTCCCTGTCGACCAGTACTTCTTGGAAGATGCCCTACAGGTTACAAAGTGAGTGACGATAAGCGAGGTTGCCTCTCGATCCTGTATATAAGGGTCGCTCGAAGGAATCCCCCTAAAAGTGTGGTTAATAGACCATTCTGACATGTCCGTTCTATGGAGGCGGTCCCACTTTATAACTGCTACTCAAAGAAAATTCCAAAAGCACGTGTTCTTTATAGACAGGCGTCTGTTCCACATAGATGGTTTCACTGTTTAAATCCCGCTCTAGTAAAACGCCGAAAGCGTCCTTTATAGACAGGCGTCCCTTCTATAGAGTGACCACTAACGCAGGTTCGACTACTCTGTGTCCGTGTTCCACTCACCCAGGCACGTCGTCGAGGAGAACTCTTCGTTCTCGAAGCAGCTGAACCGCTCCGTGGACGTCATGGGAGACATAGAGGACCATCTGAAACAGTTGGAGGGATTCACAGTCAAGACGAGTCTGTCCGACCAGCAACTCAATCTGAAGCAATTCTGCTCGAGATACGAAGGTGAGGATTCACCGTGCTCGGCGTTGCCTGCTATGAGAACAAAGCGTATACTGTGTATTCGTGTTGTCGCATGTCATGATGAAGGAAGTATCAAAGTGTATTCAAATGCATGCGATATAGATATCGTGGTAAGGTGAAAAACTTGCTGAACATCCATGCTGCCAATTATGAAAGTTAGAGAAATCTAACATATTCATGATGCCTGATTTGAAATTGAGGAAAGTAAAAAATGACCATGTTGTCAGTAAATACAATTATCAGATATCATGTCGATGACATAGACAGTGTTTTCATGGTGTCAGATCGTAGGAAAAGGAAATACAGAATATTCATATTGCTAGGTACATATAAAGGTATTTTATAGTGATTATAAAAATCTATTAGAATCACACGTTCAGATTTTACTGTGTGAGAAATGCAGTTTTCATTTTTACATGGTTAATTAAATAAGGAATATAATATAATCGAGTTGCTAGATAAGGTAATAAATGGTAATTGTATCCCCCGCGACGAAGTCGGCGGGGATACTATGGTTTTATGTCTGTCCAGTCGCCGCCGCCGCAGACACTTTCCCTTCCGCTCTATAACTCGACCCCTAATTGACCTAGCATGACCAAACATGTTCTACTTACACATCTTGGGGAGAAGGTGCGCAGCATACCAAAACCAGGTCACTATGATCTTGATTTGACCTTTACCTTGACCTTGATCATATTTCCCTTCCGCTCTATAACTTGGCCCCTAATTGACCTAGCGCGACCAAACTTGGTATACTTACACATCTTGGGGAGAAGGTGTGTCGCGTACCGAAACCAGGTCACTGCAACCTTTATTTGACCTTGACCTTTATCATATTTCCCTTCCGCTCTATAACTCGGCCCCTAATTTACCTAGCGTGACCAAACTTGGTATCTTACACATCTTTTGGGAGACGGTATATCGCGTACCAAAACCCAGTCACTGCGACCGTTTATTTGAGCCTTAGACATTGACCTTGATCATATTTCCTTCTTGCTCTATAAACTCGGCCCTAATTGACGCTACGCGCGAGCAAAAACTTCGTATACTTACACATCTTGGGGAGAAGGTGTGTTTGCGTACCAAAACCCCTAAGGCAACTTATTTTCACTTTACCCATACGGCCTCTACCGTCTTACATCAGAGATATTTCATTCATACTAGATCACGGGCGATACATGTAGTTTGGCGACAACTGCCCTTTCTAGTTAAATTTACAGTTGCAGTGCTTGTACTAACAAATTTAATCTACGAGTTTTTGCCCAAGAGGTTATTTGCTTTTCTAATATAAAATTATCTCTAAAGTTTGGCAAGCTTATCTCATAGTGGCTTGTTTGTCTCCTGCAGGCTGGCCAAAGCAAGTGCTTAAGTCTTTGGCCACGATGGACCATGAAAAGATCAACTATGACCTGATAGTAGATTGCTAGAATGGATTGCTGTTGAAAGCACCAGCATCCTAAGGAGGGTGCAAATCCTTGTCTTTCCTGCCCGGCTTTTGCAGAAATATCGACCCTGTATGAGCAGTTACAGGGCAGCAAAATATTTGGCCAACGCTCGAAAATCTTCCACCTGATCCCGCTTCATTCGAGCCTGTCGAGTGAAGATCAGCAGTCTGTCTTTAACAAATCAAAGCCCGGTGTGAGAAAGGTACTTTAACTATTCAAGTTCCAGATGAATGATGTCGATAAGTTATTACGTAGTTTTAATATTGATTCATAAACTAAACAATGAGTGTATTGAGTTTTGGATGGTTTTTATAACGGCATAATAAGGCCCATCGTTATGGAATTTTAAGAATGCTAGAAATTAAACTGCACTTGTGTGTGTAATTAAGTACATAATAACCCATAGCCAGAACGCAATATTAGTTTGTCCAATATCACTGCTGGTTACTTAAGAATGCTCATTGAAACCGCAGTCCACGAAATCAGTTGACTAGCTGCACGTTGTTTACAGTTTCGAACCGCGATACCTTCGAAACGGGTGTGATTACAGATTTAAGTCCAACTGGACTTTTCGCACTCAAAACGCATGCAAAATACGCACGCACGCATGCATTTCTCGCTCGCGTACGCAATGCTACGAGTAGTAACAGTACTGGTACTGTATAACTAAAGTAGCTCTGATTGTAATGAACGTGGATATTCTACGTACGAAATCATGCGACGCTGCGTGATAATAGAAGTAGGCTTGTTGTTGGGGGCCAACGCTATTGCGGAGGATCGGCGGACTAACCACGGCACAGACTAAATATGGAAGGAACGAAGACGGCAACTACGCGTATTTACGTTATATGTCCAAACGATACACCTGGTGTCTGCAATTGAGACATGTGGGTACGCCGTTCATTTAGCACCCACGCGTTATTACTTGTGCCTCAATACGGATACACCGCAGAGATTAACATTTACTAGCCTTCATTAGTCGTATCATAAGCATCGGGACAAACAATTCTCTGCTAAACACCCGCTAGCAACATGTGACGTTGTCCTAACGAATTCGAGGCTATTTTGCTCCCAACCAACTTTAGGCGTTTGGCGCCAGATTACCAGGATTTACGGATTTCATTAGATCATTTTTTGTAATTAGCAGTGTGATTGGTACCAACATAATCGGCTATTTGACCTTATAAGGGAATGTACTTAAGTTAACTACAGAAGGTGGCGCATTACGTGTAGCATTCGTCAACTTTGTACATAATCAGTGGGCCTATTATGCCTTTAATTCTGCTGCATTTTTTATGTTGTGACTTATCTGTGTGTGTGTATGCGTGTATGTGCGTGGCTCACCTCAATATCTTCATCAGGGGAAGTAATAGTGATTGAAGTAGTAGTTATTATTTCAATTACATATAAAATGACATTTCTAATAATCATCCTGATAAAAATACTGAATATTTATCATATATAAATAAACAACATAGTATCTAGCAGTAGGCGTTCGCGATTTCTCCGCGCCCACTCCGCACTCCGTCGTAATGCGTCAACTCCGCTCAGGTCGTTATCTCGACGAACATCGCGGAGACATCGATCACGATCGACGACGTCGTCTACGTCGTAGACGCCGGCAAGATGAAGGAGAAGCGATATGACCCGACGAAGGGCATGGAGAGCCTCGAGGTGACGTGGGTGTCACGCGCGAACGCCACACAGCGCATGGGTCGCGCGGGCCGCGTCATGCCAGGAGTCTGCTTCCACCTGTTCACGAGCCATCGGTGAGTGTGTGTGCGCGCGCGCGGGGACACGCGCAAACACCGTGCGATGAGCACTGCGCGTAGGAAAGTTATACAGGTGCGATCGAGTGAATAGTAGAGAGCCACGCTGTGCAGCGGAGTGAGATTTTATGCTCACGGGGATTAATGCGTAATGTCGACAAGCGTTTGCTAACAGTGCGTGTTCGTTGTTGTTACAATAGATGTTGACAAAACTACTCCTGTCCATTCGCTGAAGGAGTCGTAAACCTCTTGATCTCCATCGTGAATTTACTGTTTGCTATTTGATCGATCAATTATCAATTCTCGGATGTTTTCTGTAGATTCGGCAAAAATGTAAACCACTCGATTGCATTCATAAATTTACTATTCGCTATCCCTCCATTTTCAATTCTCAGATTTGTCTGTGGACTCTAGTAAGTAAAAACGTTGTAAACCACTTGTTTTATCACGTTCTAATATTTGTTGGTGTTCACTACACCAGATGTAGTGACAAGATAGCAGTGTACAGTCCTAGAGAACAAGTCTCTTGTTCTCTTCTATTCTTGTTTGCCGTCTGATTGGGATTCATGGCTGCATTTCTTGTGTCAGGCATAAGCACAACCTGAGAGAAGATCCGGTGCCAGAGATTCAGCGTGTTCCACTCGAGCAGCTTGTGCTGCGTCTCAAAATGCTGCCACTGTTCGAGGGCCAAGGAGCTTTGGTAAGCAAACGCACCAGCACCACCTAACCGCCTGATCGTGTTCGGTTTCGTATGACGCTGCTTATGCGTTGTGACTAACATATGCACAGTAATAACTTGTTTGAATAAGGCTTTTCTGCGTCATCACATCTGGGATATTTCAGCATAGCAAAACATTGCTAAATTTTTTACCAAGGTTTGATGTACGTTTATTTTTGGTAGCGTTTAAAACAGTTTTGGGCAAGAGATATTTCGACTCTCTGTTTTCTGCCATTCTTTCGCTAAATGTAGGGAAACGTTCTAATAGTTAATGACATGTCAAACCTACGTCAGACCCAGGACAAGTCATTTGACAATAGTGTTTAATATGGTTGATTTTTACTATAAGTGGACAGGGGCGTAGCCAGGATTTTCAAAGTTGTAGGCACGACTATCTGAGCGGAGCGCCACCATGGGTTGGCGCGGAGCGTACAAGAAAATTTTTGGTTTTACAAACCCGGCCCCCAGATGGCCGGAAACGGCCCTTCCCGAGTGTTCATTCTGGTTCCCTGGCCTCTTGCTAACTTGAGACACCTCATTCAATATCACTTTTAAACCCAAAAAACAAACGAGTTAAAATAGTGTTAATTACGAACGAGTTAAAATAGTGTTAATTACGAACGAGTTAAAATGTTAAAAAACTGGCAAGATCGGATCCTAGTCTTTTTCGGCGGGTAGAGTGTTGAATGAAACGGCACGCGATAGAAATGACAGCCTAGATAACAGAAGAATAGCTAGGTCACCTAATTTAGCCATATTCTTGCTACGTTCATTTCAATAGTTTTTCCTGTCTAGACTCTTAAACTCGTCCAGCAAGCTTATGGATTTGAATTATGGGTGTTTTAAAAAAAAAGATAACTTGGCCAAAAAAAGTGTAGGCCCGGGCCTACAGTGCTACATACTGGCTACGCCCCTGGTGGAGATAGGAATTATCAAGAGTGTAGTGATCAGCATGCTTGAATTCAAGAATACAATATTTTTGACTGTGCAGAATAAATTCTATTTAAAGTCTCTATAATGTAGATATTGTGTCGCAAAATTTTTGGTTCATCATTACTTGCGAAATCTATCACATAACCTAGCTGCTATCTTTTTTTCAAAGTTTTGAATATAAATGATAAATCAATACTTCTCTAATTTTTGCAGGAAGTGTTGTCAAAGACTATTGAGGCACCAAAGACCAGCAGTGTATTAGACGCAGTAAGCCGACTACATACTCTTGGTGCGTTGGACCCAAACGAAGCCCTGACACCACTAGGCTACCATCTGGCACAGCTACCTGTAGATGTGAGAATTGGTATGTCCATGTTGTGTAGCAACAAAGGCTGTGTCGAGTGCGATTATTGAAATGATGAAGATGCTCTTGTATTTTCAACTTGAAACGTTTAAACTTTTGATTCTCTGCAGTTCAAATGTAAAAAAATAGGATTTGCATATATGCATATATATATATATACATTGTCATCATGTACCACTGATTTAGCTCTGGAACTATAGCCTCGGTTTGTTCGCATTACGTCGTAATGGCGAGCGATGGAAGCGAGGTAGCTCTCACCAATAAACACATGTCTCATGATAGGAATATGGTTTATAGGCAAGCTTATGTTGCTGGGAGCCATCTTTCGCTGCCTGGATCCAATATTGACAATTGCTGCCTGCCTGAGTTTTAAGTCTCCATTCGTTGCACCGTTCGAATTGAGAGATGAGGCAGATAAGAAGAAGCGAGAGTTTGCAATGGGCTACAGTGATCAGCTGACTGTTCTTAAAGCTTACCAGGTGTGAAAATGTAAAAATTATATTATCTTAACCCTTCCATGTAGAATACATTGTGTAAATTTAGTACTAGATGTGCATGGTGTATTTCCACTGAATTATAGCCCTTGCAGCCAAATCTTAATGACCGTCATGTTGGGAGTGGATGTTTTTTTGTTCATTTTGCGGTAATATAAATTTGGTTTCAATTATTATTAGATTGATGTATAAATATTTAAAGTATTTAGTGATTATTTATCTTTTTACCAATAATTACTTGGTTAATATATACATTGGTCATTTAGTTTATGTAGAAAGGTGAGATGTACTTTTTGATAAAATGGCTGTACCATCAATGACTCTCAACATGTATTAGGAACTGTTTACAGGGTTGACTCGAAACAAGCACATTATGTTCTCCATGCACAGTTAGTGTACCCTAGTAGTTGCACTCATGACAAACTTGTGATTAATACGTCAACTTGTATTATTACTTCAGGCATGGAGCAGAGCTTGTGAGCAAAGTTCACACTCAGGCTATAGATACGCACAGGCAAACTTCCTCAGCCACAAAACTCTACAGGTATATGTACACACACACACGAACGCACTCACGCACCACACACATGCACGCACGCACACACCGCACACGAACACACGCACGCATATATATGTATCAGAAGTAGATAATAGGGAACTACTATATCCCCTATTATCCCCTATACATCTACTTCTGATAC